TATGTTGTTGTCAAACGCCTGGACGATATTACTTATCTTGTCAGAACGTCACCTAAAATAAAACCTAAAGTGTATCATGTCGACAGGCTACTTCCATATAAGGGTCAGAATCCTCCGAAGTGGCATGCGCGTTGTCATTAAATAAAAATAACTGCAATAGGGTATTAATTACAAACAGTTCTGTTTCACCATAATGGTAAAGTGTTAAAGTGACAATTTACAATAATGCTTTTAGGACTATAAAATTGGAAAATTCTGTTGTATACTATGATACAAGTTTAAATGTTTATATCGCAAAAGAGTCTTGGGAATGAAGTACTTTATAACCTGTTATGGTGGCGGTTCTCTGGACGCACCAGTTTATAGATTGAATACGAGAGAAATAGTTGATGGCATATGTAGTGCGCATCAAGTAAAAGTTAAGACTGGTTAAATTGTTAACATGTACTTTGCGATACATAATATTATAGTTTTTGCGAAAAGTACGCAAAACTAGGTGTAAATGTGAATAATCCTGGAACTGTTATTGTGAATGAGATTCATTGAACAAACCATGTGGACACAACTCGATTAATTACCATTGAGAGAATTTGTAACTGACAATATATTGAAGTGTTATAAAGAAATTTTCAATAACATACATTTTATAGCAATTTCATATGTAAGGCATAAAATATCAGCTTAATTAATCAAACAGAAATTGCTATATATTAGAAACTAAGACAGTGTTTAAATATTTCAGCATGAAGACTTGTCGACTATGCGCAGCCACATTTGAAACAAGGAGACTTCTCAAGTCTCACCTTGGAAAAGAACATTCCACGTTCGCAGTTATTTGTCCTTTTTGTGTGCATAAGGAAGTTCACTTCAAAAGAGTGTATGACTTAAAAATTCATTGTATAAAATCACATTCAGGTGAAGTTAAACAACTGGAGGAGGATGCTTTCTCTGAAAGTAATGGTTTCTATCTGTCACTTAACCCTAAAGATTACGTGAAACATATAGCAAAATCTGACAGGTTGAGTAACACTGCTGTGAAGTTTCGCACACTAATGTTAATGTGGGAGAAGCAGGTGAAGGGCATTAAAAGTAGGTCCAGACAAGAAATTCTAGACGGTTGGGATGCTGGAGAACAGTCATTTAACATGCCGGATGAAATTACTATTATCCCTGAATCCACTTCTGAAGATATAAAGATCCTCCATATTTCATTAAATTTAAATGGAAGCCCTCATATTGATATGTTAAATGTATATGATAGGTTAAGAGTGCTTCTTACAAGTGATGTTTATGATGATAAAATGGCTATGAGAGCATTAGCTAGGCGCATGGCAGAACTAAAATCTGTTAAGGGTCATGATAATTTTGATGTTAGTAATGCTCAATTATGTAATGAGTTGAAAGAAAAAGTCTGTGGCAAGTTAAATGTTCACCGCAGCCTTATTTCTAATATCTATGTTATGAAAACAGAAATGTTAAGTTCTCCAAAAAGAATTAAATTGGCATCTGATGTATGTAGTGAACCTTCTTTGCCTGAAGGTACTTCCACTAATAAAGCTAATACATGTACTCAGTCTACAAGTACTAGTTCAGCTGTGTCTCTTGCTGGTTCGAACCCGTCTGTCCGAGCTACTACTTCTACTTCTTCTATTGTATCGCATATTACAACACTGATGGACAGTAACATCCCTGAAATTCAGTCCAGTCCTACTGCCAAAGTTCTAAGTGCTATACCAAAGGCTCCATTGCCACCACCTGTACTTGCAACAGCAAAATCCTGTGGAGTTTTGAGTTCCGCAGATACTATTTCTGCAACAATTCCCAAAGCTACATCTCAGACTTCACTGAGCTATCGCGCAAATAAGTTGTTGCGCATGGGTGCCATGCCGGTGTTTCCCCCAGCACGGAGGGAATGGTCTGCAGATGAGGTAATCACTATCATTGAAGATGATGTTAAATTTAAATGGCCGCCCAAGGACTGGAAATACCTGTCTCCTGACAACAAACTGTTGCAGTTTGAGTTCAGTGTTTTTGCTATTCTGAAACAGAGAGGTGTCACACCTAAGTCAAGGTCATACACCCATGATTTGTTTAACTTTTTGGTTCTTCCTGGAACAGCTTCTCATGTTGAAAAGGGTGACACTTCCCATAACTCACGTTTCTTTGTTTATGAAAGACTGAGGCAAATTGCAACAGACAAGGAAAGTCTTGTTGACAAAGTTGAGACTGACAAGTGGTTGGCAATGATAGAGTGTGGTAGTATGTTACGGGACACGGTCAATGACAAACTGTTGAAAATATGCGATAAGGTACCTGTACCACTCAGAATATAATCCTTGATTTAAAGATTAAATAAAACTTAAGTTTTGGAAAAAAAAAAAAAAATCAGGTAAATGGGCAACTAATAAAAAAAATTTTTTTTGTGTATTATGAGTACATTGAATGTACAGGTTGTGTCATAAATTGTTGCCTACTTTTATAATTTATCATTTATGGTACTGTCATGCAAAATTGACTAATCAAACATTATTTTCAAAGTTGTAACATACATGAAAGATGTTGCTGTATTTAAAATTTATATATTTTATCTGAAAATATAAATGCATTGACTGATGTGTTTCCATACTTTTAAATGTTAAGATGGAAGGAGGCTATTTATTATTATTATTAGCACAAGGACAGTTGAAAATTTAAGAGGATTTTCAAAGCTGATGATATTTGTAGTGATGATGAAATAGTTTATGAAATTATAAACATTTGTTACTTGTTAAATGTAACTGTTATATGTTAAATTTGAGACTTCGGAGAAGTTTTTTTTTTTTAAGTAGGGGAGAGTGTAAGAAATCACAGATTGTCATTTCTTAGCTTGTATAATTCGTTGCAGAGTTCATGAAATTGTTAAACATGTAGGCATTTACCTTGTTAACTGTGAGTCTTTAAGAAATATCCTACAATATCACTTACTATGTTACTTAATCTCATGTATTTAATGATTTCCTCCTTACATTTACACAAATTCATGGAGGCTGACATTTTTGTTGTTGTTGTTGTAGTTGGTGACTCTGCGATTTTTACGTTTATGTGATAATTACTCATTATAGGACTGACTTAACCAATAGGAAATATGCCTTTATATTGTTTCGTCTCAGAAACACTTCACAGTCACTTGAAATTATGAATTATTGTTATATTTTACGATTTTGCTTTTGAATAGCTAAGTTCCATTTCGAGCGTCTGTAACTCAGCCGCCGTTCAGTAACCTATTTTTGTTGATTATATGAAGATCAGTCACTTTTTGTCATAGTGTTGTATATCAAAATGATTGTTATTTTACCAAGCATTGTATTTTATAAGTTTTACATACATATTACTTACTGTTGATGAGTAAAAGTCATTATATCATGAGTGGAGTCTCAGAAAATGACCGGTAGTTTGTAATTCCTGCCGTTTACCGTTCATTGATTTCATTGGCTAACGGTCGCCGGACAGTAATTTATTGGTTAAAAGGGTCACACCCCTCTTTCTGAGACTCCATCCATTGGTTGTTTTAGATCACGTGGACACGGACCAAAGCTTATAAAACGGGCGGCGACCAGTAAAATTCAGTTACGTACGGTTCTTTGACCGGCAATATTTGAAAAGTCAAAGAGTATACTTAATAGTATAAAGTAAGTCCGTCTAACCATCCGTCCATTATGTCCGTTTTTATTAGTATTTGAATTGTGTCCACTGGTATTAGATCTAGTATCGGATAAGAATCTATTGAAATTAATTCGTTAATAAATTATCGTCTGCAATATTATACTGTATAGATTTATTTAGATGCTAATAATTATTTATAATTATTAGTCAACATCTTCGTATAATAATAATAGATTTTTATGAATTGTTTAAACAATAAAACTATTGTTAACTTTAAAACTCTTCTTGGTAATTCTGACTACCGCCGGCTATTACAGTACGGAAACAAATCAGGCGCAATTTAGCTAAATATCAGGTACGGCAGCATTTATTTGTTGATGTCGTGTTAGAATCGAAATAATATATCCAAATCGGTGATTTTATTGCTTGATAACATCACTGTATGTCGTTCGGATGCGCATCATTATATCACTCGGGCTACGCCCTCGTGATATAATTCCTGGCATCCGAACTCCAAACAGTGATGTTATTGAGCAATAAAATCACAGTTTGGGATATATTATTTCTTAAATATAAAGGGCCTAATAAGTTAAATATATGGTAAAAGTTGCGTTCGAAATATGCAAGATGATTTTGGCCATGTGATTATTCACGATATCTTATCCGCATTTATTTAAGATACACAATAGAAATTGAAAAATAAAAAATTTAAAACTACAGTTTATAAGCTTTTTATAAATATTTTTTCACAAATTTCGGCCAAAAATGACATAACAATAATAACTTGTTACTACATGTGTATAAAATTTCTTTCGTGTGCAGTCGAGATTTGGCTGGTAGTAAATTGCGTTTTTTACTCGTTACAATTCCAGAAATAATTTAGCTTTGTAAATGATAATTACACGGTTAATAAGATCAAATTCTCAGCTTTCTTTTGATAGGTATTTTGCGAAATTCGGATCATAAATGACGAAAAAATCTTATATTTGCTCGAAGAGGGCATCATTATTTTTCACATAATCGGGAGACAAAAAAAAACAAAAAAACTCTGTGTTTAACTCGTCGTAATTTTCTTCATACTAAACGCACTGATTTATAAAATATATATTTGAAAAAATCTATCTTTCAGTTTTCTAGAATATGTTACTTTTAAAAAATTGAACAGAAAATAACATGTTGACGGTAATTTAAATAACCAAGGTCAAATATCACACCGCTTAATGATATGTAATCGTCGAGAAAAATCAGTAACGATCGGCAGTCTGGATGGATTATCTGCCACGACAGCATAATTTACCGTTATTGATTTACTGTATAGAGTTGCGGATACCGTTAATATACGTACCTGATAGACTTACCAAAGTAGTCTCAAAGTATTCTGTGAGGTTTGAAGTTTCACTATTGGTAGCTGGTACCCAAACTTCAGCATTAGAGAGCACATCAACCTGGTACCGGTCCCCCTCATCAGCTTCCATCTTCCTTTTCTTCCCGGTAAGAGTAGTTGATGTCACTATAGTCTGTAATAGCGGACATTGTGTTCTATGAAGGGTCAATTGCTGCATATTAGATACTAGATCTAAAATGCTTTACCATCAAAGCGTATTGTATCAATAACTAAATATTGGTATAAATTTACTCAAATCACAGCAGAATTTGCACCAGAAAATAATACTGAGCAGCATTTCATTTCTTAAATATTAAATACATGAAATATAAACCAAATAGTAATTTCTCACCTTCTTACAGACAGCAGACCACACCCACTCATCCATGGTATCCTTGGCAACCAGGTAATGTACAGCAACACAACTTGTCTGTCCGATTCTATGAGCACGATCCTCGCACTGTATCATGGTACCAGGAGTCCAATACATCTCGGCAAACACTACCAGGGTGGCAGCCGTAAATGTCAAACCCTGTCCATACAACCATACACAAATTTATTTGTATTTGATGATGATTTAGAAATTATCTTCGGTAAAAGAAGGAGCTAAAAATCTTTCCTAATCTCATTCTTAACCTAGCTTACTATATACACAAAAATCTCTTGTGTAGAACTGTAAGACAAAACAATATGGCAGCAGGGGCCCAATGGTTATGTCTCAGCATTCTATACCTCAAAATAATGGTTTGAGGTCCTGCTTTGGTCATGACTAGGCTACCTTATGACACCTGTCTTAGTAAGTCTGGGAAGCAAAGTGAATAGTAACGTAAGTTGAAAGAACTTGTAACACAATCAAGCTAAAACTAGAACTATCACTAAATGTGATTAATACCCCCACAAGTCTGCTTCGGAAATGAGGATGTTACTAGTAACAGAATACCTTGTAATAGAATTGAAACATAGAGTTATGATTGTGGGCAATTAAAGATAATTGTGGTTCATGTATGTTGCATTTCCTTTCAATGTGGTTGGCCATTGATGAAGTTTAATTGAATTACTCTGTAATAAGTCCAGAAAGACAAAGAAAAAGAACAAAGGGCAATAACTCTATAAATACTGAAGATAGTTATAGTTCTTGTGCACTGCACTTCCTCTTATTGTGCTTGACCATTGTATGAAGTTGTTTTGAATTCCAACCAGTACGTTTTAAGTTATGCTCCGGACAAGGAAAAGTATCAAAGGGCAGTAACTCTGTATTTTGTCAAAATGGAGTTATGGCTCTTGTGCACTGCACTTCCTTTTAATGTCCTTGACAACTGTATGAAGTTGTACTGAATTCCAAACAGTAGTTTTCAAGTTATGCTCTGGACAAGGAAAAGTAACAAAGGGCAATAACTCTGTAATTAGTCAAGATGGAGTTATGGTTCTTGTGCACTGCACTTCCCCTTATTGTGCTTGACCATTGTATGAAGTTGTTTTGAATTCCAACCAGTAGTTTTCAAGTCATGCTCTGGACAAGGAAAAGAAACAAAGGGCAGTAACTCTGTAATAAGTCAAAATGGAGTTATGGTTCTTGTGCACTGTACTTCCTCTCAATGTGCTGGACCATTGTATCATTGTATGAAGTTATAATGAATTGCAACAATTAGTCTTCAAGTTATGATCCGGACAAAAGAAAGCAATGGAAAAGTAATAAAGGGTAATAACTCTGTAATTACTTTAGATAGAGTTATGGTTCTTGTGCACTGCACTTCCCCTTATTGTGTTTGACAATTGTATGAAGTTGTTTTGAATTCCAACCAGTAGTTTTCAAGTTATGCCACGGACAAGGAAAAGTAACAAAGGGCAATAACTCTGTAATTAGTCAAGATAGAGTTATGTTTCTTACGCACTGCACTTCCTCTCAATGTGATTGACCATTGTATGTAGTTATATTGAATTCCAACCATTAGTCTTCAAGTTATGCTCCGGACAAGGAAAATGCAACAGACAAAAAAAAAAGCAATGAAAAAGCAACAAAGGGCAATAACTCTGTAATTACTTTAGATAGAGTTATGGTTCTTGTGCACTGCACTTCCCCTTATTGTGTTTGACAATTGTATGAAGTTGTTTTGAATTCCAACCAGTAGTTTTCAAGTTATGCCCCGGACAAGGAAAAGTAACAAAGGGCAATAACTCTGTAATTAGTCAAGATAGAGTTATGGTTCTTGTGCACTGCACTTCCCCTCAATGTGCTTGACCATTGTATGTAGTTATATTGAATTCCAACAATTAGTTTTCAAGTTATGCTCCGGACAAGGAAAATGCAACGGACGTCTTGACCGACCGACCGACCGACCACCGGGTGACTCCTATATACCCCCCCAAACTTCGTTTTTGGGGGTATAATAAATATCTTTAAACTAAACTATGATGAAAACATTGAGTTAATGAATTTCCCTATAAAAACTCAAACTTACCACCCCAGCAGCTAAGATACTAAGTACAGCAACCCTTATATCTGGATCTGATTGGAACTGATGAACCAAATGCTGGAAAAAATGCACAAAACCTTTATTGTAATAGTAGCATTTTATGGCTTAGTTAGATATTTCCTTATTATTTTGTAAACTTTTAAGTGAAATACAACAATTTTTTTATTGTTTTTCTTTGTCACAATATCTTTGGCTAACATATTTGTATTTTACATAATTCACCAACCATAAATATGCATAGTAGATTTAACATTTAAACTGTTTTTACAATTTCAGCCTATCTGTAATCTTTTGTTAACACAGATAGGGCTGAAAGTTCTATCAGACACTCTTAATAACAATTCTGTAATGATTTCTATCACTTCCTAATTATTGGTACAGAGTGAAGTTCTCATTTTAAATGTAAAGCAATTAAATTATAGTTTGTCAAACGTTAACATGATAGAAATAAATACAACTGATATTCTCAAAGATGCAAATCAAATGCAGGATCAATCAAACCTATTAAATCAGTTGATAGCAAGTAACCACTTCTGTTGAGATTATTAATACAAAAAAAATGTTAATGTTAAAATGTGTCACAAATCAATACCATAAAACTATGACAATGTATAACTAAGCACAACTTACTGGTCGTTCCGATGGCGGAGTTTCTCCATCTATTCTTATAAATTTAATGTTTTTATCGTGTAAACTCTCACTGAGGCCATTCATCATATCATGATGGTAGGCAAACACCAGAAACTTTAACTTCCTATTCTCACATAACATCTCTATATACTCCTTGGCTGGGCCTATCTGAGAAACAAACATAAATCTATGTGTCAATTTGCTAGGCATATCGGCGAAACAAACATAAATCTATGTGTCAATTAACCTAATATCAAAATAATATAGCCAGGTTTTTTATATAGTTTGAATGGACCAGATACATCAATGATAGATAAATAAGTAATACATTGATGTCTAAAATTAAATTGGCTGTCAATTTGGTCCATAACAGAAGGTCTGTAATCCCACAAATAATTATGTTGATAGTATTTAGTACCATGTGATAACAATGAAATAATTATATATGGATGCTGGTGGTAAGTGTGCTTTACATGATCAGATATGACATATCTTTATATAACAGATGATAAATTGTTCTGCAAACAAAATATTATTCATCATATACATTGTAAATGCCTGTACAAAACCACCTAGAACTTTAGCAACACTTTGAAGAAATATTCTATAAGAATATCCAAAAAGATACATATCCATTGTTTTTATGAATATTTGATAATACTTATGACAAGTGTCCATTGAAGACCAATTCACTTTAAGCAGAAACACTTTTATGAATTTTTTTTTCTTTGTATGAATAATGGAAAAAGATCATTTCTATTCTGCATATAACAATCAACATGAAACAACTTATCCAGTCATAATTACATTATTATTTCAGCCATTAACAACAAGGTTTAATTACTTGAATGTTTTCACTTACCTTTGCTGTTCCACTAAGTTTATAAAGTCTCTGTATTAAAGACAACATGTTAGTGTCCTTAGCGTCATGATCAGCACCACCTGTCAGTACCTCAAAGTTATCCTGGTTAGAACGTTTCATTAAAGGTCGCAGTTCATCAAATGTTTGTCGGATTTCCTGAAAACAAAATAAGGTTAATCTATTTTGAAATAACTAGAACTCCACCAGTCGGATTTGTCACCTTGTCAACAATATAGCAACTTCATTTCTAGTTTATTTGTTTCAAATTATTTCAAACATCTTTTTCTAACAAAAATCAACAATTTGTTTTACTTCCACAGACAACAATATTTTGTTTAAGGCCTATCTGTAAAGGACAGTTTGATTGTGTGGCTTACAAAAAAGCTTTCTCAGAAAATCCGAATCACAATGAAGGAGAAACATATTATAAGTTGGCAATCAGATTTACAAGCAAGAAATCATTTAGTTTCTAGATCGGATCTTGCTTTATTTGTGATTTTTTTTTTTATTTGCTTATCTTCCCAGCATGACTCAAGCTAGCTCTTATATGTGTTTAACTGTTGACTTATGATCCCCTCTGTCTTTGTTTATTTGTTTGATAACCCATAGTCTTTTCATACTTAAAATTACCTAAAAACTGTTTTTAGTATTCATTTATTTATTTATCTTTTCATTAATTATTTTAATTGTTTAATCAGTATATTAATGAAATTTATGTAAAATGTTTTTAGATACCTGAAAATGTAAGCATGATTAAATATACAAGCTAGTGATGTAGAATTAAGTTAATTATCGTTTTAGTTTTTTAGCATCTGATTTTATAAAAAAAAAATATTTAAAAAAGGACTGTTTTATGTATACATTATGCCTAAACAATTTTTATTTCAGCTGTTTTATCTTTGTTGATATTATACTTTATGTTACATACAGTCGGTTATATGTAAAAGCTCTTAGAGCTCATGCTGTACTGTTGTAAACTTGCCAACTTGAAATAAAACTTATCTTATTCTATACCTTAGGCAATTAATGTTACGCATCCATGATGATAAAATACTGCATTTTAAGCAACAGTAACTTTGAATGTTATTTTACCTTTTTCAGGTCTGAATCCTTCAATTCAAAGAGCACCCTCTGTCTCTGTTTAGGTGGTAGTTGTGTTAGAACCTGGCTTTTCTCACGTCGGATCATCAACTTGTCTGACAGTCTCTGCTGTAACTCCTCTAAATTACTGGCACCACTGAAACAAATGAATTGTTTTTTCTGACAACAAGCTAAATATAGTTTTTAAGGACTCTGACATCTAGGTAACAAGTATAAAGCCCCACTATCTGCATGTTTAAGCAGTCAAACAAGGCTTAATACAACTGGCATTTTATGTTAGCAAATGAAATTTTGGTATTGACATCTCCCAAACAAACAAAAGACAACTGAAAATATACATACAACACAATTTTGTTGTGTCCAACGTACATTGTAATTTTAGTGGCCATCTTGGATTTGGCTGTCATTTTGGATTTTAAAAAATTGGATCTCAGGCTTACATAAAATGAAATACAATTTCCTGCCACCATGCTAAGTTTCATGCTTTTCTCAGAAGGTGCACAATTATTTCACTGATTTCTTGGACTAAAAAATTGGTAAGTCAATAAAACAAATTTAGAAGATTAAGTCATTTACATCAATGAAGCCACATCATTTTACTTTTACACTATTGTTTTATACAAGCAACTGATTTTTTTTTCAAATGGATCATATAAAACAACTCGGTGCAAAGTATTTAAATCAGGGTATTAGAACTAATTTGAAATGTTTCATTGTTTACTTCACATTTCTGCGTTTGATCTTTCCAATCCATTCCAGTTTTGCATCACAATATCTGGCAGTGTATGTCCACCAGCTACCAAACTCATCAGGACAAATGGCATCTATTTGTGGGTACAGCTGAAATAAAGGTAAGTAGAGTTGTTTGAAGTTGATACCTTAAGAAATGACAAAGTTATAGTGAACAAGCAATTATCATAGTTTTGCAAGCAATCCATAAGTCCCCTACCGGTAAGAGCCCAAGCAACATTCTGAAGGGCCATTGGCCATTCACTTAGGTTCCTATTTTAAGTAAATTTGTTGAAAAAGTTCTTTAAAAGTGATCACAGGAAACACTTTTTATGTACAGACAGACAGACTGAAGGACACTCTAAAGTTATTTTTTAAACATCCCTGTTATCAAAATATAACATTTTTAAAATCCTATCATGATTGAAGAAGTTGGAGTAAAAATTACCAATTTCTCAAAAAAAAGTCTAAGTTCAAAAGGGGCATAATTCTGGAAATAGTCTTGCTAGAGTATTGAACACTCACAAATGTTGAGTGACAATAAGAAACATTTATATGAAGTTTGAAGTAGATACATTCAGAAAAAGAAGTTATTAAAAAAAAACAATGTTTTTTTCATGGAAATTTTAAGTTCAAGGGAGATAATTCTGATAAATTTTGTGCTAGAGTTGTAAACCTTGTCACATATGATGTGGTTGATGACAAGCAACTTATATTTAAAGTTTGAAGAAAATACCTTAACAAATAAAGAACTAATAGTGAAAAAACTTAAAAACTAGAATCAGAAATCTTGAAATTCAGTCTATTTGTTGCCATAGCAACCAGAATTTTCAACATAGGAAGATAAACAAGAGGGCCATGATGGCCCTGAGGTCGCTCACCTGTATATAGGCCCCCCCCAAACCAAAACCCCGCCCCCCAAACGTTGCAGGGCCAATTTAACCAAAGGGCTTTTATTTGCACAAACTTGGTAGACGCCCATAAGAAGATGTTTCATGCTAAACATCTAAGCTCTAGCTCATTGGGCTATTTAAAAGAAGATTTTTTTAAAGTTTTTACTATACACATATAGTTAAAAACAATGACACCCCTGGGGCCGGGCCAGTTATGACCCCAGGGTTTTTATTTGAACAAACTTTGTAGACACTTACTAGAATATGTTTCATGCTTAATATCTAAACTCTAGCTATTTGGGTTTTTTCAAAGAAGATTTTAAGTTTTTGCTATACACATATAAGGGAAATGAATGACCCCGGGGCGGGGCCAATTTTGACCCAAGGTCTTTTATTTGAACAAACTTTGTATACACTCACTAAAAGATGTTTCATGCTTAATATCTTAACTCTAGCTATTGGGTTTTTTCAAAAAAGATTTTTTAAGTTTTTGCTATACACATATAAGGAAAATCAATGACCCCCGGGGCGGGGCCAATTTTGACCCCAGGGCTTTTATTTGAACAAACTTGGTAGACACCTATTAGAACATGTTTGATGCTAAATATCTTAACCATAGCTATTTGAGTTCTTTAAAAGAAGATTTTTTTAGTTTTTACTATATGCATATATAGGGAAAAATCAATGACCCCCCGGGGCAGGGTCAATTTTGACCCCAGGGCTTTTATTTGAACAAACTTGGTAGACACTTATTAGAACATGTTTCATGCTAAATATCTTAGCTCTAACTCTTTTGGTTCTTTAAAAGAAGATTTTTTAAGTTTTTACTATATGCATATAGGGAAAATCAATGACCCCCTGGGGCGGGGCCAATTTTGACCCCAGGGCTTTTCTTTGAACAAACTTGGTAGACACCTATTAGAACATGTTTGATGCTCAATATCCTAGCCATAGCTCTTTGAGTTCTTTAAAAGAAGATTTTTTAAGTTTTTACTATATGCATATAGGGAAAATCAATGACCCCCCGGGGCGGGGCCAATTTTGACCGCAGGGCTTTTATTTGAACAAACTTGGTAGACACTCACTAGAAGATGTTTCATGCCAAATATCTAAGCTCTAGCTTTTATGGTTTTTTAAAAGAAGATTTTTTAAGTTTTTTCTTTCGGTTGCCATGGTAACCAGAGTTCTGCATGGAATTAAATTCTTTGAACAATTTTTAAAGGTGACCACCAAAGGAACATTCCTGTGAAGTTTGGATGAAATTGGCCTTGTGGTTTATGAGGAGATGTCATTTAAAGTAAAAGTTTACGGACGACGAACGGACGACGGACGCCGGACGAAAAGCGATCACAAAAGCTCACCCTGTCACTTTGTGACAGGTGAGCTAAAAAGGATGTGCATAATTTCCATACTGCCATCTACCCATATGTCAAGTTTCATAAACATATTTTCAGTACTTTTTGTGTTATCACTGGATCCAGGTTATGTGTAAAATTTGCCATATTTTCAGTCTATTTGTTGCCATAGCAACCAGAATTTTCAACATAGGAAGAAAAGAAAAAGACGTGCATAATCTCCATACTGCCGTCTATCCATATATCAAGTTTCATAAAAATATTTTCAGTACTTTTTGCGTTATCACGGGATCCAGGTTATGTGTAAAATTTGCCATATTTTCAGTCTATTTGTTGCCATAGCAACCAGAATTTTCAACATAGGAAGAAAAGAAAAAGACGTGCATAATCTCCATACTGCCATCTATCCATATATCAAGTTTCATTAAAATATTTTCAGCACTTTTTGCGTTATCGCGGGATCCAGTTTTGTGGACGGACGGACTGACGGACTGACAGACGGACGGACGGACAGACGGACGGAGGGTAAACCTAAAGTCCCCTCCGGTTAACCGGTAGGGGACTAAAAATATTTTACTGCACCAAAACTTTAATCTGAAATCTGGACACAGACGCGGACGCCTGGGCGAGTAGGACAGCTCTCCATATACTTCGTATAGTCGAGCTAAAAATCATTACAGAATAGTTATTGAGAGTGACTGACAGGACTTGCACAACTTTCAGCCATTTTGTATATATACATGAATGTGCTATAACGCAAGTATTATTAAATTATAGGTAAATTACGTAAGAATCTTATACAAGCTGCCAGTACAGACTGAAATATATGGCTCAATGGTAACTGTTAAGGTGGTACCATAACCAATGCTCTGCCAACAGGGCCAAGTTTGACTTTTTCCAGCATATTACATATTTGTTAATTGTTATACATATTGTTTCAGCAAAAATTACGAAAATTGCTATTTTTAGTTACAGTTCATTTCTCATAGTAGCATATGAATTTACAAATTCATTCCTAATGGTGAAACAATATCATCATACCCATGCACTTTCATTCATAAAAATGTGGAATGACATCATTTCTAAAATGCTAACAATTCTTCAGTTATTTTTTTCTTCTTGTCATTGTAAGGTAAATTTACAAAGACATCATAAAAGCTGTACATTGTACAATTCATTATATAGTTTACTTCCATCACCGTCTATAAAACAAACGAAGAACCGATCACATTGCTTTCTGTAATATAATTATGAAAAGGATTAGCTTACCTCTACAGGTCTTGCCAGAGCTGGGGTTCCAGATAACAAGATACGTCTGTTTGCATTCTTTATTATTGGTACTACAGTTTTAGCCGAGACTGTTTTAGCATTGCGAATATAATGAGATTCATCTACAATGACAACATGGAATGCCTGGTTCATCAACGCCTCTCGTAAAATACGGCTGGTTCCTTTACTTAACAAACCAAAGGTTGTTATGGTTACCCGTGCTGTGCTAATATCACTAAATAATGTAAAATAAAATAAAATAAATTATTACGTTTTCTGGGGTTGGGTTTCATAAGGCAACTTTCCAGCTTTACTGGTTAGGAGAAAACCTCAGGTGCCCCTGCTTGCATTATTTCAGGCAAAAACAGGCACATCAGTAGAACCACCAATATTCAGTAAGCTATCTGAATATGAAAGAATCCAAAATCCCTTGCAGGATTCAAATACACAGCAGTGAGGGGCATGTGTTTAAAGTTTAGAACCTTAACCACTCGGCCATAATTCCCCAAAATATTTCTACTTTACCATACAACATCATCATTTCATTCTGCAGCTCAGTACAGAATATAACAAAAGCAAAAAGACTTTCATACCTAATTAATTAAATTAAGACTAACACCATGAGTGTATGACATCTAGACCCCTTGACACCTCGACCCCTTGACACTTCGACCCCTAAGACATCTCGACCCCTGACACTTAGACCCCTGAGACACTTAGACCCCTTAAATATACCGGACATTTCGACCCCTTAATTAATGTATTGTTATATTAGGAAAGACCGTGCGTTTTTAAAAATAAAACACAAAGTAATGACTAGGTTAGAACATTTTCAGCCGTTTATTAATCATTTATGTATATTATTTACAAAAACAGTAACACAAATAAATAAATATACATGTGCACAAAATAAATATACATGTACACACATTACATTGAAATACTAATACATAGAATACGCATACACTATCACTCCCTTTATAAACATGCATGTCACATAGGTCCATCACTTTTGCGTCCATGTTTCTGTTAACTTCCCTTCGATAGCGAACGATTGTAGATGTATGTTCACAAGCTTTGCCTCTTGCAATAGTAACGTAAGAAGAACATAGAAGGGAACAACGCCTCGACCAGCCTGGCTATTAAGACGTCTATGCCATCCTAGAAAAATAACAACCTATATTCAATATAAGCAAACGAAACAAAAACAGTTTACATAAAAATGTGCAAAATAAATTCTCCAATGTCTTTATATTTTATATTTGCGTCACAATTCAATCATTATGTTTTATTGAGAATTTTTGACGACATTATCTGTATAAAGTTAAAATATCATCTTACTTATCACTTATTAACTCGTTTTATATTAACAAGATAACAAAAATAGTGCATACCCTCTGTATCATTGTTGGTACAAACAGTCTCCACTACCTGTTTTATAAAATATTTATATTGATATACTGAAATATGATGAACTGCAATTTAGTTAAATTCAATTCAAGTAAATTTCAATCATATTAGGAATAATAAATGGTTGATATGCTAACAGTAATGTAGTCTTGCTTCCGCCGTCGAGACATCATAACGAAAAGAAGCGGCTTCCGAAATTGAATGATCAACGGAATTGTCATGATCAGGCGTTGCTTGATCTGAAAAAGCGTCACTGCAAATACTACATGTGCTGTAGTAACTGTACGACGCTTAAACGTTTACATGCCTTGTAATAATCGATTCTAATGATACCTACAAAATACAAATTTTTCATCTGATAACAAAATTAAAAACAATTAGTGTTTGAAATTATTTTTTGTCCAATAGGAATGCAGTAGTTCAAATGAATCGTAACAAATTTACTTTGGTAAACCGGCAAACTGTTAGTGTTAATCAGTCTGTTAATAACACTAAGCCGGTTAAAATTTATTAGTGCGTATTTACAAAATTAAATTGGTCGCGCGGCTGCGTCTGACCAATTCAATTTTGTAAATACGTACTAATAAACTTTAAGCTATACTAAAGTCATGTTTTTATTGATAACACATGTATTTTATTCTAATGACCGATAATTTGATTAGTATCGTCACGCGCCGGTGTTAATCCTATTACGTGTCACTGAATAAACACATACATGTATGACCGATAATTTGATTATTTAACGGCACGCGCCGGTGTTTGTCCTAATAGTATCAAGTGTCACTGATTAAACACATACATGCGTGACGTTAAACCAGCACACGGGAGATGTATGATGATAACTTATTAAAGTCATTTTCATTTTATTTGCGCTCAAAATATGTATGAAATTGATTAAATGTATATCAAAAATAAATCCTTATTATTTAATTGTTTTATTGGATACAGTTTGAAGCACGCTCATTCTAATTTTCACCGTTGCAAAAACGAATTTTAATTGTTTTTGTAGTGAGTCATATACATTTTTTGTAAATATCTGACAGACCAAGTCAATAAATATATCTTCAACTATATCATTTACCTAAAATGACTGATTTTTTTTTATTTTAATAAATATGGGGGTCAGCTTTCGTAAATTATTACGCAGTCAATGATTACATTTCCGTAAACTATTACACACAAATCAATATTTCATTTATATAAACGTTCATTTATGTATCATTATTATGTCTTACAAAACAATAATTTGAAGTAAACAATTTTTTAGTTATTATTAATAAAAAAAAATAATCGTTACTTAATGCACTTATGACGAAATTATAAATGAGCACCATTACATTAAACCACGGCACTTTAATCCGATTTTAGTCCGTAATTAAACAAATGAAAACTATGATTTGTCTATTAATCACCAAAATTAAATTTTAAACAAGCAATTATCATAGTATTGCAAGCAATCCATAAGTCCCCTACCGGATAGAACCCCATCAGCATTCTGAAGGGCCATTGGCCATTCACTAATGTGTAAATTTTCTCTATTTTAAGTAAATTTGTTGGAAATGTTCTTTAAAAGTGATCACAGGAAAAAGTTTTTATGAACAGACAGACAGACGGACTGAAGGACACTCTAAAGTTAATATTTGAAACATCCCTGTTACCAAAATATAACATTTTAAAAAGCAAAATTTTTAAAGAGGAGATAACTCTGGAATTAAAGATGCAATTTCATAAAAAGTTTCAGCTCTTTTTTACTAATCACAAATATTGTTATATTTGCCATGTTTTAAGCCTATTTGTTGCCAAGGCAACCAATTTTTTTTCAAAATAGGAAGAACAGATATGACATGCATAATCTCAAGACTGCCATCTACCCATATGTCAAATTTCAAAATATTTCCAGTACTTTTTGAGTTATCACTGGATTCAGTTTATGTGTAAAATTTTCCATATTTTCAGTCTATGTGTTGCCATAGCAACCAGAATTTTCAACAAAGGAAGAAAAGAAAAAGACGTGTATAATCTCCAGACTGCCATCTACACATATTACAAGTTTCATAAAAATATTTCTATTACTTTTTGCGTTAACACTGGATCCAGTTTATGTGTAAAAATTGCCATATTTTCAGTCTATTTGTTGCCATAGCAACCAGAATTTTCAACATAGGAAGAAAAGAAAAAAACGTGCATAATCTCCATACTGCCATCTATCCATATATCAAGTTTCATAAAAAAATTTCCAGTACTTTTTGCGATATCACTGGATCCAGTTTATATGTAAAATTTGCCATATTTTCAGCCTATTTGTTGCCATAGCAACCAGAATTTTCAACATAGGAAGAAAAGAAAAAGACGTGCATAATCTCCATACTGCCATCTATCCATATATCAAGTTTCATAAAAATATTTTCAGTACTTTTCATGTTATCGCGGGATCCAGTTTTGTGGACGGACGTGTAAAAATTGCCATATTTTCAGTCTATTTGTTGCCATAGCAACCAGAATTTTCAACATAGGAAGAAAAGAAAAAGACGTGCATAATCTCCATACTGCCATCTATCCATATATCAAGTTTCATAAAAATATTTCCAGTACTTTTTGCGTTATCACTGGATCCAGTTTATATGTAAAATTTGCCATATTTTCAGCCTATTTGTTGCCATAGCAACCAGAATTTTCAACATAGGAAGAAAAGAAAAAGACGTGCATAATCTCCATACTGCCATCTATCCATATATCAAGTTTCATAAAAATATTTTCAGTACTTTTCAAGTTATCGCGGGATCCAGTTTTGTGGACGGACGGACTGACGGACTGACAGACAGACGGACAGACAGACGGACAGACGGACGGAGGGTAAACCTAAAGTCCCCTCCGGTAAACCGGTAGGGGACTAAAAATGTAAATTTTGCAACTGATATTTCAGAAAAAAACATCAATTTAAACAAAAAACTTAAATATTATATATATGTCTTACAATATTTTCAAAATATATTTACGAATCTTTTAAAGCCCAACATTTAAAACAGGGGTCGAAATGTCTTAGTCAGTAGGGGTCGAAAAGTCATCTTACAAGGGGTCTAAGAGTCAAGGGGTCTAGATGTCATCCTAATATCCTAAGGGGTCGAGAAGTCAAGGGGTCTAGATGTCTAACTTGCAACACCATGCAACATTTCCTTCCATTTGTGCCTTGAGTTTCATGGCAATTAGACCATGGGAATGTACTGATATTGCATGTATAACTGTTGGTTCACAAGTGTAACAAATTTGAACAAAGTTACAGTTTAGTATGCATGTTTCAAAGTGAACTTCCAAGTTCTCAAAATACATCATTTGAAACAACCATTTAGGATAAGTTGATATGGCATTAATTATATGTTGGCAAAACAAAAAGATTTATTGACATAGCTCTTTCTTCTGAGTTAATCAAACTTGCTTGTTAATGGAAGTAAACAAGCACTTAACTAGAATGTAAAACAAGAAATATGATTGAAATACTAGTATAACAAGCGATACCTGACATCATTTCCTGACTGAACAAGATTTATGTCTCCTGGATTTATGTCCGGTAACCATTTCTCAAACTCTTCGATCCAGGAATATCTGAGTGATGATGGGACAATGATCAATAAGGGCCATTCCTTCCTATAGTAATATGCTACAGATATAGCCTGTAACGTCTTCCCTAAACCCATCTGTCATAAAAAACAACAACAATATCAGTTCTGTGAAATAATAACATAACATTTATTTTGTTAATTAACCAGATCCTTACAATGTAATGCATGGAAGGCCATGTATAAGAGAAAACAAGTTTTGACGACTATGATAGATTAATATGTTTTAATGAATATATTATCACAGGTCCAGTACATAGACAATATTAAATGAGTGTAGATTTCAAAATGATTTTATTGGACGAGTTGTATAAAATTACATTATGCGAGCCTTTGGCGAGCATGATATTGTTTTATTAAACAAGTTCAATAAATTAAAGTAATGAATCTACACAAATAAAATATTCTATTTATCACATAACCAACATTAGGACTGTTTAAAGTGTAATGAAACTTAAAACATACCTCATCAGCAATCAGGCATCTGTAAAAAAAGAAAGAAAAAAAGATGTTGTTTTACATTTTATCATAGGTGAAAACAAATTCAATATAATAAACAAGGTCCTAACAGGCTAACACAATATTTTTACAAGAGCTTTTGTTAGGACAGCGTACTTGACTATTCTAAGTGCTTGACAGTAAAGCAAGAGGCTGGATAATGTAGAATATTCCAAGTTCAACAAGGGCCATAATTCTGTCAAAATCTTAATATTTACGGGCCTTGGACAGTGACCTCCTATTATCCTTTAAAATAAGTATCTGAAGCTTCAACCCAATCCCCTTCAGTAGTTTTGGAGATATGTACTTTCATACAAAAAAAACTTATCCAAAGTGTCATGCTCTCCCTATTCTTTGAATAGTTGAGCTAAAAATGTAACAGCAAATTTATTATTACTAACAGGGTGAGGAGAGAGGAGAGAGCAATGTATATTAAAAATTTATCTATCACTTTCTATTGAGTACATAACACAAGAAAATTAACTAGCACTTACACACAATTAAAGTCCCATGCGAGGTGATGAAAATCAGTCAGTCTGTTTGAGAAAACTTTGCAGTCTGATCCGGACCTGTGGCATAGGATGCATTTGCCTTAGCAATTAAGTTTCTCAACCATTTATGCTGAGTTCTAGACAGTGACACTGTATAGCCATTTATGTATGTGAATCTTTTCATGATAGGCAACCATTAGGTCTTGAGGGGAAAACATAGAGCGATAAATCAGAAAAGGGGGAAATCAAATTCCAACAACTGAGAATGGAATTTACTCACACATTTTATAAAATTTTCAATTTCAATTCAATTTAACATGCATGGTACATAGCACAGGCTATAGGGACAGCTGTCTGTCTTACAGCTGATATAATAAGTCTGATGCTGTTAAGTCATGGTTCTGGTGAAATAGTGCACAGGGCATTTCAGGGGAAAATATTAGCTTTTTTAGGGGAAAATATACCTATTTTGAGCTAAGGGAAACAGCCTTTATTCGGCTGTAAAATACAAGGGAAAAAATCACTGAGGGCTGATATGTTTTTAACCGACATGTCTTTGATATTTTTGGACCAAACTCCTTTGGGTGAAAATGACTCGAATTTCATATCACTTTTATCAGGCTGGTGAAAATGCCCAATCGGGCTTATGACATAAAAAATCATATTTCTAGAAACATAATAAAGAGATTTCTTTTAAACTTTGATAGAATTATTTCCCCTTTTTCATGTTTATATAATACATACTTTATGAAGTCCTTAAAAATATGTTACATAAATAAACTTAAATAATAAAACAAAATAGGTTTAATATCTTTTTTATGCTCCAATTCATTGCACCAACACCTGTCAGCATACATTTCATTCAGAAAACTGCAAAGTTTAATGTTCAGTGTCAAAGATTTGTCAAAGTATCTATGCCAGAAAACAGAATATTAAATTCAAAGATATAGTAAAAAGGTACTGGCGCAATGATTTTGAGCAAAATGAAGTTGTTGGACATATTTCTGTAAAGAATTTTACATTACAACATATTTTTTAAGGACTTAAAAAGTTATGCGCAATGTAAATATGAAAAATGGGTGATAATTCTCACAAAAGTTACAGTTACCAAATATTTTTCTTTCTGTTTATGTCATGTATTATGCTCAATAGTCAATACACAAAAAAGTTTAAAAGAAATTTCTATTTTATTTTTCTAGAAATATGATTTTTTTATGTCATTTATGAAATATGATTTTTTATGTCATTTATGAAATATGATTTTTTTATGTCATTTATAAGCCCGATTGGGCATTTTCACCAGCCTGTTTATTACATTTCTAATCATATGACTTTTGAAATTATAACCCTTATATAATTGCTTATATAAATTTCTCTTATTTACACTTTAAATAACAGGCATAAAGGTTCCCTTTCAAAATGATTAACAAGTGCACATGCCAGAAGTTAATGCCATACTCAAGTCATTTCAGAATGGCATTTGCTTGTCCAAATATATTTTGCTCTAGAATAGTGCAATATTGTTAAGAGAATTAAAGAGAAACTTTGTTGTTGTTTTTTTGTTTTGAGTTTTACGTCACATCGACACCAGTCTTGGTAAATAAAGCATATAGGTCATATCGCGGCATTCCAGCTTTACTGATGGAGGAAGACCTCAGGTGCTACAGGAAACTACTGAAGGTACAATGTACATGTAGCCTAGGTAACTTATAGTTGTCAAAAATGTAAATCATTGTCTTTGTCAGTGTAGTACCGTATGGTATAGGTTCTGGAAGTTAATGGACGGTGGCGAGGGTACCGGCAGCTCATCCAAGGAAGGTGATTGCTTTGATATATATATATATATATATATATTTTAATATTTAAACACATTTCATGTTTTGGGACACGATCTGACCCCAAGCGTCTGTGATCTAAAATGGGTGTGTCCTGAACTGAAAAGCAAACAAATTAAAGTTAATTTTGGTCGCGAAAACTGATTACAACTGAATGCTATCTGATAAATATTGACAAATAATGGAAAGTTTTACCTCCCGTGTTTAGAAACTGCAAATTTGACACCCTCTTTTTGAAAGGGCATCAGTCGTTCCACTAACTTTTCTGGTAAAGTTTCCAAAACCATTTCGGTACTTTTAATTTCCCGCCATTTGTTATAAATAAAAGGGGAACTACCGTGAAAAGATTTTTTTTGGGAGTGATCATGGGCATTATTTCCCGTGCGCTCTAGAAAGACGTATAGAATCACGGATTTATATAAATCCGTGATAGAATTAATCTGTCTACGTGTATTTAAGTTAAAAATTAGGACATATAGCCTTTTGATACCATCTCTCGAACAATGCTATGTGTCTACCATTACTAAGGCCTTATTATTTCAAAGTGTATACTGTAAAGCTAAATGGTCAGGGTCTTTCAATCAAATCTTTTTAAATCTGCGGTTTAGGGACTTGCAGTTTACATTTTTTGTGAATGTTGAAAAAACAGAAATAAATAAACAAAATAAAAAATACAACAAAAACAGAACAATATGACTCAAAAATGTTTGTATGAACAACACATATCTTGATAAATCACTAAAGCCCGCGGTTGGGCACACGGTTCCCATACGGTATACTCGAATATACACAGATTGACTGGTACGACTATTTAGCTCCAACCGTGCCTGGGGATTAGCTGGCACGAGTTAGACTCGAATGTAGCACGAGCATGTACGAATTAAGGACGGATATACTCGGTCAAGCAAGGTTTGAACACGATTTGCATACGAATACATACGATTGTTGCACGGTTCCAAGTACGGTCTAGTACGGCCTGGTACGATAAAACACGACTGTTACTCGATTTACTCGACTTTCACAAAGTTTACATAGGGTCCCGCCGACTTCTGTTCGAGTTATCATATGCCTTATATTATCACCTATTTGTGTATGTTTTGATATAATCGACCCATTCTGATGGCTTGGCTTATAAATTTTCGAACTTTCAACGAAGAAGACCTATATATGTTAAAATTGGTTATATAAAACAATGCCAGATGCAACAGATGACAGGAATCATGATAAGCCTGACAGACATTGGTGGGTCCCCCTGCTCATTAGGCTTGGCAGGGGCAGAAGTTTGGAGTGGTCGGCGGGCCTTGGTGGCCCTTCTTGCATTCCTTCTGTGCGTGGGAACCTTCTTCTTTGGATACATTCTAGTATGATGCAGCAATTAAGTACTCTGGGTAGATCTAGCAATTGAGGGTGGCAGCAGGTAGTTGTGGTTTTCGTTGTCCAATTCATGCTGATGTAGAGGCCGTGTAAGACCGTATACGAGGCCGTGTGAGACCGTGTATATACCCGTACTATACCGTGTATGTTTCGTACTTGAACCGTAGTGGTCGTATGACGATCGTATGAAACCGTTTGTGCACTCGAGTGAATCGTACCGTGATCGTGTGACTTTCGAATGTTAATTGGGTGTTGGATGTAGGACTTGGGGACGGTCTCGAACGATTCCATACGATTTATATACGATCTTGGCACGGTTTGACTCACTCGTGGAGTGGACTTAAAATACGGTTGTATATACGGTCTCACACGGTCTCTTACGGTCTTTTACGGTCGTTTATACGATCATACACGGACGTTACATCCGTACCAGTTTTTTAAAGTTTTAAAAACCATACACGGCTTACACGGATACACTCGAATGGCCCGATTGTAACTCGGTTAAACTAACGGTTGGTTCGGTTGTATGTACGGTTTATACGAGTGGCCAACCGTATAAGCCGTGTGTCCTGTGTGAGATGGACTTAAACGGTTCAAAATGTACTTAAAACAGCAGCATATTTTTTTTTGTTCCGGCTGTTTGTAAACCTTCAATTTTCATGTGTGTTAATTACCAGAATTATTCTAATCTGTGAATCAACTCTTTCGAGATTGGATAAAAAAGTATAAAAATAACCTATTTTTTCCCATTTAGATATTTTATTGAATATTTCATCAGATATAGGTTTATACTCGTCCACAATGGGCACTGTAACACCGCACATTGGGGTCAAACGCACTTTGGGGTCAATATCGTGAAATTGACCCCAAAGTACGTTAATATGCTACATATCAACGCACTTTGGGTTCCAGAGTTCTGAAGGTGTCAATTGACTTCGGCTTAAATACCGAGTACTGACTTACATTTATACTAGTATTCGAGTTGCGACAATGAAATATTTGAGGTGCAGTTTAAGATGACGGTCGATACTTATATACATCACTGTGCAATTTAACTAAGAGCCATTTATATCACTAATTGATTCTTAACTGGTAAATGTTTTATCAATTGTACCACTTGAACTATCTGAACAATTGTGACCATAAAACAAACAATTATAGTACTTAAATTGTGAATGTATTCCTAGAAATAAAAGATGTTTCGAAAAAAATCCTGTTGTGTCATCATTTACTTGATAACTTTTAGTGTCATATTGAACCCCATTTTAGATATGATGTAAATGTAATTAAAAGGCAGTTAATATAATTTCAGTTGAATTTCGTTTCCTGTTTTAATGAATTGTAACAGGTTAGAAATAAATAAAGTTGGACTACGTCTACAAAGCTAGCTGCACTTCATTTCAAGCCTTTTTCACAATTTTCGATATTCCTAAATATTTACACCAAATGATATCGCAAATGAAAACGCATACAATGTCGAAAATTTATTAACATTTTAGAAAAAATTGTTTGTAAAACAATTTATAACTTTTACATGATTATTACTTGATAACTGTATCAGTGAATACACTCAATACATTTTGGTTTCTATCTCTTAAATCCTAATGACTTTTACGTTTGTCAGGTACCAGTCATGTAATTCTATGAAAGTAAATATTAAATGAGCCGTGTCATGACAAAACCAACATAATGGGTTTGCGACCAGCATGGATCCAGACCAGCCTGCGCATCCGCGCAGTCTGATCAGGATCCATGCTGTTCGCTATCAGTTTCTCTATTTGTTATAGTGTTTGTAAGCGAACAGCATGGATCCTGATCAGACTGCGCGGATGCGCAGGCTGGTCTGGATCCATGCTGGTCGCAAACCCATTATGTTGGTTTTGCCATGACGCGGCTCAAATTTTCTTACATACATGCTTTAATATACACACAACGACTTATTTTTAATTTGTTGCCATTTTGGATGCTGTTCTGAGACTAAAAAAATAAACTGATAGGAGTAAAATTTAATGCAAACGTTAATTTACAGCAAGAGGCAGTTTATTGTGAATATAAAACATATTTATAATGAATTGTAAATTGCAAAAATTATAAAATTGCAACACTTAGATAGAACAAATTTAAATAATCTAATATCTGCTATTGTTAGCAAATACATTTTGCTTACTTTGTTCCTTATTTTTAGTTCACAATTATCATTAACTACAAGTTTCATTTTGAAATATCTATAATTATATGACCCCAAAGTGCGGTCGTCTGCTTGATGTTAAAATATGCATATGTACCTGTGTAACTCACTTTGGGAAAGTGCGTTACGCACTTTGGGGTTGGACCCAAAAGTATGTAACGCACTTTGGGGTCCAACCCCAAAGTGCGGTGTTACAGGGCACCTTTTCCATCAGAATTTCAAAAACAGACAAAAACAAAGAAATGTAAATAGCTTCTATCATTTGTATTTTCTTATAAAAATTTCAAGAAGAAATGTTGATAAAGTAATTAAACCACTTAAACTGCTGAATTACATAATTAGAGTTATCAAACACCCATTTTATCAAATATTGGGGATATCAAGATGGAAATTGATATTAGTCAGCCAACAGTACAGAGCCTGGTCAGACAGCATGGATCTGCAGGCTGGCAAGGTTGTATGCTGGTGGCAAACGATACATTCAGTTTTGGCAAACGAAAAATTCAGTTTTGGCAAACGATACATTCAGTTTTGGCAAACGATACATTCAGTTCTGGCAAACGATACATTCAGTTTTGGCAAACGATACATTCAGTTCTGAGAAAACGATGCATTCAGTTTTGGCAAACGATACATTCAGTTTCGGCAAACGATACATTCAGTTCTGGCAAACGATACATTCAGTTTTGGCAAACGATAAATTCAGTTCTGGCAAACGATACATCCATTTTTGGCAAACGATACATTCAGTTCTGGCAAACGATACATTCAGTTTTGGCAAACGATTCATTCAGTTTTGGCGCCAACAGGCTACCAATTAAAGTTAATTAGTGTAAACATTTTTTTATGATGAAAAATAATATTTTGTTCTAGAATATTATATTGTCTGCTATGTCTATACAAATATATGTAACATCGGATCATGTACATATACTTGCCAATAACATCTATGTATAATTCTTTCATGATTTGTTGTAATGTCTGATTCAAAATACTGTCAACGCTATCATTTATACCTTGTTACAAACATTCCATTGTAGACCAATTCATTTTAAACCTAAAAAAAACCCCAACAATCTGGAAATACATACAACATAGCAAAGTTTCTGTACATACAGATGTGTCTTCACATAGAGAGAAGAAAATAAACTTTGTATAATAAACTATCAATTGACCGGATTTAGGCATACCTCAGCGGTCGATAAACAAAGTCATAAATGATAGTCATAGTAATAAATATATGACTATCCCGTACTTTATCATCATATTATTATTTCTTATCCGCTCACGGCATTACTACGTAAATGGTAGTAAACTATTATACTTCATGCATGTTATTATACATGCCATAAACCCAAGTTGAGATATAATTATTTTGTGGTGATATATGTTTCACATATTTTGTAAATATACAAACTATTTAGGACAGTTACAAATTGAAACACCCGGATATCTGTTTTTGGTGAGTACAGATAATTATTTTGAATATATTATAGAATTTCGTTTCTTTTTTAACGTTTCCCAATATGTGTTAGTTTTGTGACTCAATGATCAAGAAATCATTCAAACTTTTAAAAGTACTGAATAATATTATAGGTCTTTATTATAATGAATCATTTTTCTTAAAGTTGCCACATATGAAAATTGTCACAAAATACCATAGAATTTTATGATACTGCACTTTTATATTTCGCTTTTCATTGGTTAATCTTAAAGTTTGTATAAACTATATACACGCTGTTGTCAATTTATGAATTG